AAAAAAAAACGCTCGGGCCCCCCTTTTTGGGGTTTTTTTTTTCATTTAAAAAAAAAAAAAAAAAAAAAAAAAAAAAAAACACACCATAAATTAATTAAAACCTCACATTTTGCACCTTGCAAACAAGTTACCCGGGTGTGTTGATCCAAAAAGAAAAAAAAAATAAAGTCAGCTCATTAAGTTAAAAGAATCTTCACCTATTTTGGAATGAGTGTTGTTTTACCAGGCAACTTACATAATACAATGTTCATGGTTGTATGTCAAAATATTGAAATGAATCGATTATGATATTCTCTGGCTGCTGTGTAATAAATATTTACCCAAATCTTTAAAGGTTTGTGTTCCTTTTGATGTTCAGTGTTCAAAATAAAAGCTTTTGAATAGACTTCAAAAATATGTAGCATAAATGTTTTATTGAGATTATTTTCTACAATAGTCAAACACTGTTAAAGTCCCAGAAACTATGAAGAATACAGACATATCCGGATATGGAGGAAAAAATAATATACATGAAGATTTCATGTTGATTCTGCCATGTCAGTGCAATTCTTCAGTGTCTTTAAGTGTAAGAAGCAAAGGACAATTTATGACTGCAACTAAACCCAAAACTGTAAAAAAAAAAAAAACAACCCAAGTAGCATGTTTTGCTATTACTCTAATAATATCCCCCTTTCTTCTACTGAGCTCTTCCTTTTTATGTAAGCAAAGAGGAGATGACAGTAAATTATGTCCAAAACTGCTGCCTCAACATCCATAGATCTGTCTGGGTGAGTGATAAAAGGATTTGCTTTAAATTGGAAGACTGGGTTTAGTACACCATCAGAGGTCGGTGGTCAAAAATGGATCTCCCATTTTCCCAAATGACTAAAACATCTGGGGTTAAATATCTGATGTTGTTTTCTATTGAGAGCTGTGAAAACTGCTGTGATCAGGTCTAGAAATTCTCTGAAAAGAAAATTTAGGACACACAATTATCTGAAAAACCTTTATTTAGCTTTTGGTCATCGCAGCACATGCTGCATTATTTATTGTTACTGTGCAACAGTAACAAACGAGAATCAACCCATTTAAGAAAAGGAGGATTATTCTTCCAGAATTTACTGCAAAATAACAAACTGGCTACATTTGTTGGCTTTACCTAGTAAAATAAAAAATTTGAAACACAACATTGACCCAGACAATATTTGTATTGTCAGCCAACAAATGACTGGGACCCCAGGTAAACATGTAATTTAATTGCGTTTATTTTGTTCAAATGGATAAGCATTTAGAAATAACCATTTTAACAAAATCCCCACAATAGTGGCATAGTCTTTAAATATATAAATGTGACATTTTTGTAGGTATTCTTTACTTTTTGAATGTTGATCCAAATATCTAAAATGTTTTAATAAGTAATCCATTACTTCATGTTCCCATGACGAGGAAGGAAAGTGCTCACTTTTGCTAAAAAAAAAAAATGGAAATGGAAACTCATCATGCACAGATGTGTGCTGATCATCATTGTGCAGGCAGTGACTGTAAGAGAGGAACAACTTAGTTGAAGTTCTTTTCTACAGTAAGAGTAATAATAGAGATCTGAACAAGGATCAGCAAGGCACCGTAAGTAACATTTCATTTTAACCTTTCTTTCAAAACTTGGTGGTGCTTTCTTTCAAAAGTGGTGCCTGTAATTGTGGAGAGTGCTGTATGAAGCTGCTTGTTCCTGTAAATGTAAGTCACCATAGTTTAAGGAGTAGCAACAGATTTGTGTAAAATAATAGTATTTTAGCAACCATTCACTCTGTTTCATTTCAGGGGATATATGATTGGATCAGAGACAGAGATTATTTTTATTGCATCTTTTACAAGATGCTACATTGCACCAAAAGTGCAATGTTGTTGAGGGCAGAATTTTTACTTCTCACAAAATGACATCCAATTTGATGACCTACCCTCCCTCCCCCCAACCTGGAAGTGTTTGTGGTTCTCAAACACTTCCAGCATTTTTAGGTTGCTCAAAAACCAACTTTTTGAACAATGCTCAGTGTCAGTTGAAGCCAATTTCTTTCTGCAGGTTTCAGCTGATGAAATACTAAAAAAGACAAAAAATAAGCCACCACAGTTATCCATAAAAAAGTTCGGGTTATGGTCCAACTATTTTTGGTCACTCTAAAAACAAAAACAGTTTACAAAGTAGTCCTTCCAAACAGGAAGCAAATGTAATAAGGTTTAGCAAATTCATAATATAACTGGAGCATATATGGATTTTGTCAGATGTCAAAAAAAACCCTGTTGGCTTTCAAATATTACTCGACCAAACCTTCTCTTTCACACTGAACGATGGTGTTGCTTCAGAGAGTAGAAAGTTATTAGGAATAAAAGCAGCTTATCCTAGCGCTGCTTCATGACCACAAGGTTCTTCAACATGTCAAACGAGTTTCCATCAGGCTCCACAGAGACCATTCCTTCCTCTTTACTGCACACTTGCAGAAAGCCGTTGTCATCCAGACCAACCACCTGCGCTTCTGGTCCTTCCTCACTCCATAGACGGACCTGAGTCCCACTGTGGCCAAAGCAAAGACAGTTTAAAGCCAGCATGTTCTTATCAGGTTCCAAAATCCTAATCAAACTATGTCTGAATTTCATGTTTTCAAAGTAATCAGTTTTACTTAAAAATGCAGGATCAATAACATTTCAACACTGATTGATTTCAACAAGAACACAGGAAACATCACTTGATCAACTGTTTTAAGGTGAGTCAATGCAAAAGACACACGTTACTGCAACCAGTAGATTTCAGAAGTATGACATGGTTTAATACTTATCTTATTAACTGGGAACACTGAGTTCCATCATATTTGTTCTTTTGTTGTCAACAAATGAGCTACTGCTAATGATCCTGTGTAGAGTGAAGTGGATTTGAATAAATGTTATTGTTTGACAGTATTGCTTCTGGCACAAACCAGCATAATTCTTTTTTCTTCAGAAAGATTATCTGATTTTTTTTTTTACATATGTCTAGAGTGTTTGAAAAGGTCATATCTTGTTCTGCTTGATAATATCTGCATCAGAGGAGTTTCTGGAACTACTACACTTATAGATGTGTAACCACACTTACACATCTTTCTTTCCCCTCTCCCCCTCCATAAAATTTTAAACATTGAGAGGAGCTGGAGTTCTGCTTTGAGATGTTCCAGGCAAAATAGTGCTATTGGAAAGAAGTTTTGCAAAGCTGCTCATGTATGATGGCTATCTAACTTTTCTCAGTAAGGAATATTGAGAATAGCTTTATTCTCAGAATAGCTTTGTAGAGGCAGTAGTTTTCAGCACACCCCTGTGAAGCCATCTTTTATAGTAAGTAGGCAGAACAGCGTCTGGGCCTCTTTGCTGGAAACTGGTGATGAGCATTTCGAGGCAGTTCATAGTGAGAGCGATGACCTGAGAGCAGCTGAGGGGCTCAAGGCTGCAGTCGTTCTGTGTGTTGTACTGCTGGATCAGGTCATTAATGCATACTGTGGGGTTGCTGTTTGTCACATTAAAGCCACATCCTAGAGGCAAATGTTAAAGAGGAAAAAGGGGGAAAAATGAGAGGAGGGAAGTGGTGTGTTATGATGTCTCTAGAGAGGGCGTGTTACAATAGCCATAGACAATATTGCTAACGCCCTGGGTTGTTACCTATAAGCAGATGAAAAGTTGATCCTACAAAAGTCGATGTTACCAGAACTCCTCCAAGCTTTATCAGGTTACTGTAGTAGATATCATTGGGCCACTTCACCCTCAGGTCTATTTCCTGATGAATATTAAAACATGGTTAAAGTTAGTAAAAGAGTACTTTTGTTAGGAATTCCCATTGCTCATGTTTTGCAGTACACAAAAAAAGATTTGTAATTGTATGTATTTACTCAAAATTCATGGCAGTAAAAAATACAAAGAACTATAAGAATTTGATGCAATGTAAATAATGAAATTATGCTTGTGGTGTCTTTTTTTACTTCATGTCACATTGGAATAAAATTTTATATTTCTGTGATTTAATAACTTACAATGTGGTTTTTCAGAGTTAAGTCACATTTTTCTTTGCATTTTTTGAGAAAAACATTAGCACTATTTGCAAACAAAACAAAACTTTCAACCTTTGTCACATTACATTATATTTTTCACCATTAATAGTGGAGAAAAAGTGTAATCTGAGGTATGTTGGTCAGATTTTATCTGAGAGATTTCAGTTTGTTCATGTGAACGATAAATTCTCCTCACAATCCAGGGTTAGTTGTGGAGTACCATAGGGTTCTGTGCTTGGACCAATTCTTTTTACTGTACATATTCTTCCAGTTAGTAAAATTATCAGAGCATGGGATGAATTCCCATTGTTATGCTGATGAAACACAGCTATATTTAATCATAAATCCTGACTATTTGTGTCAGTTTGGAATTGACACAAAAACCTGGATGACAAAAGTTTCTGCTTTTAAATTTTGTCAAGACAGAAGTTGCTCTCTTTGATTGGGGGCAATGGCCTACATCTGTCTGTTGTCTTTGGCAAAACAATAGACAGGAAGCCTTACTTCTGTCAGTCTGCCAAAGGGCAGCTGGAGCTATAATACAGCTTACCATCGTCAGCACATGTGAATGTGTGTGAATGACTATGGCTGTATAATTAAATCGATTCTACGATATGTATCGATATTTTTCCCCCTTGAAAGGTATTGATTTTTCATATGCGAGTATCAATCCATTAACCCATAGGGGTTCCATAGGCTTATACATCTTTTTTACATGTCTGATTTGTGACGGCGTAGCAGCAATACTCCGCCTCCCCCGATCTCATTTTCAACTTGTGCATATTATAAACTACACACCAATTTTTAAATTGTGTTAATAGGCCAAGTAAAACCAGAGTTACTGTATGCTAAATTAAGTAAACCGTATTTTTCCGAATGTCAGAGAAATGTCAAAAAATAGCTTTTCCGGTTATGTGAAAGGGAGTGAGCTTCCAAACGTAAAAAAGGAAACGCAACATTATATTCCTTTGGTTTTAGAAATCTCAAATCTTCAACAAATAACAATGGGCTGTATTTTGTTGCTAAGAAACAAATTAAAGTTGCTCAAGTTATGGTGAAAGAGAAGCGGAATGGAGTAGCGGCAAAAGCGGTGAGATCGCGAAATTAATCCAAAGTTTGGATATTGGAGCGATCGGTGGCATCCACTTCGTAATTTGTTTTAGCTTAGTGGTTTCTGTTCTGTATATAAAGGAAAAATGAACGCGCAGCAGGCAGTGGTGCTCTGTTTGGAGCTGGAAGACGAAGAGGGGAAACCCTCAGCAGGAGTCTGGGCACAGTGAGGATTGCCATGACGATGAAGGCAGATCGGTCATTCTTATTAGCAACTGACAAAGAGTATCAGAGACTGAGAGTACGATGAGATCCTGGCAGTCTGAGAGGCAGCTACTACTCAGAGAACCAAGCAGGGAAATGGCGGCCCTGCGCAGCTGCAAGGAGTCGATCACTACGGGGTGAGGCAGAGCCACTCCCCCAGCAGCTAGTGGTAAGCGGCTTACAGCCACGACTAACTCCGGGAGTCAAGGTGGAAAAGCCTTTTTCCCATAGTCCAAAAGACTTTATTTTACCTCCCTACCCCAATAAGAGCCAGGTATTGTGTAGTTGATGCTTTTAATCAGTTTTCAGTTAATTAAATCCAACTGAAAATTGATTATATCCAAGTCTATGGAACACAAAACGTCACCAAAATCACTCTGTCCCACTAAAATCTTTCAGAAAATCATAAAAGTGTATCGAAGCGTATCGATTGCCGAATATCGTGATATATATCGTATCATGAACAGAATATTGTGTATCATATTGTGCGATTATTGTATCACTACACCCCTAATGTAGACCCTTTGGGGTCCTCTGGACAAGATAAAGGATTATGCAAATACAGGCAATTTACTATTTACCACTAGTTTTTCACCCAACACTGTTACATGATTTAGGATCAATATTAAGTTTTAAGCTGTCCACTTACAAGCCATGACATTTTGAACGCAACTACATTTGGCATTGTACAGCTGGATAAAGACAAGCCATGAAAGTAAAGTAAGATTACAGTTTCCATTGAACTGAGGTAGAAATTGTGCTTATTTGTTGATGTCGTCATTGAGCAAAATTTATTAGAATTAGGAAACTTTATTGTGTCAAATATTAACATTAGGTAAAATGTGATCAACTATGATTAATTAATTATGAAATCTTTGATTAATTTGATAACTTCATTAAATCGCGCCCCACTGTTACTTTTTGCCATCAAAATTGTCTCAATTCAGCTTTTTGCCTTACGACATAGCTTGAACATACATTGTATAATATCATTTGTAGGTATGTGATGATATTGTTGGATTATGTTTTCCTTTGTGTATTTTATTGATTATTACTTATTTCGACTCTTAAATGTTCTTAAGCTTTCTATCCTCATCTTGATGTGCTAGTGGTCTGCTCAAGTTAAATAGTTAAGAGTCATATGGTGTACATTGTCACTTTTTAAATAAAGTCAAAGTGTGACTATTGCTGTTACCATGCTACGTATTATGTTATTCATGTAAAAAAAATATTTTTTTAACTCATTGTGGTTTGCAGAGGCATCACAGTCAAACGGAACTTCACGCTATACAGCAATCCATTAATGTAAGTGTTAGAAGAGATGGGCTGAGGGTGTGTTCAAGCCTGATATACCTGATATCCAGGAAGTGTGCGAACAGCTTCCACGATGGCTAAAGCAGCCAAATGTTGTAGGAAAGGAATTCTTTGACCAAGCTTGGAGTTCAACTCAACTTGGACTCCAACTGTGAACATTGCACAGCCTAGTGGGCTGAGCCAAGCATTTCTGCCTCGGCCTGAAAAAGCAAGAAAATTATTTATTTCAAAACACAGTGTAAAAGGTGTTTTTGCATGTTTAGCACTAACCTCTTCCTTGTGTTTGTCGAGCAGCTACTGCTACCAAACCAGTGTTCTTTGGTAAGTGCAGCATCATCCTGTGAGAAACCAGTGAATAATTGTGGTTATTAGGATATCTGACTTCATGACACCTTCAATTAACTATTTATACTTCTTTTGTTTTGCTTTATTTTGAAGACATCTTGGAAATTTTATTTCTATCATAACAAAACTTAACACTATTTTTAATTTTGATTTGCATAATAATAAACATACAATGAAGGTAAGTAGTTGCTGACACCAAAGTGTAGCTACTGAAGAATTGTCACT